CGTAGAGACACTGGGCCGGCATAGTCGATCCCAGTGTTGAGAAAGGCTCGAGCGGGAGTGAGTCTGGCTGGTGGCAACTGGCCCATGAGCTGTTGAGCGCGTACTCCACGTTGGCGAGTGCAGTTAACGCACTTGAGGATGAAGGAGCGTACTGGTGCTCGACCTCCGAGTATCCAGTAGCTACTTCTGAGCTGCCTGAGGGTGAGCTGTGTGCCTCCGTGGAGTGTCCTTAGATGAGCCTGTCCGATGAGTAGCTGAGCCAGTTGAGATTCCTTCGGAATAATCACTTGGTTCCGGCTCTCCGGGCCTATGTGAGCAAACTTGAGCCGTCCTCCTATCCTCAATACCCCTTGGCGATCGATGAAGGGTGTGAGCTTGGTGAGGGGGTGGGATTTGCTGAACCTTTCCCCTCGTGAGATCGCTCTGAGTTGATCCTTGAAGTGAGCTGCCTGCGTGAGTTTGATCCAGAGGATGCGAGCCTCTTCAAGATCACCAAGAGTGAGCGGGTATCGAAGAGAAGAGTTGGGGGTTTTCCTGAGCCGAGCTATGAATCGTCGACAGATTGCTGTGACCCTGAGCAGTCGGTTGAACGATGAGAATCTGTCGACGAGATTCCAGAGCGCGATTGGATGAGCTTTTACATGTAGGAGAACTCCTGGCTTTTCCTCGAGGTCTGCGCTGAGGTCTTTTTGCAGAGCGTGAGTTGGCTATGATGAGCAGTTTTGATGAAGCCATGGTGGCCCTTTCCACCAGAGCTTATGAGATACCAGTTGGTGCGCTGATAGACCTCGAGATGCACAGTCTGCAGGATTCTCCTTGCCCGGTACCAATCTCCAATGAGCCTGCTGAGTGAGCTCCTGGATGAGTGCCACCCGATTTTTCACGAACTCCTTCCATCTTGAGGAGTGTGAGCTGATCCACGTGAGCGTGACCGATGAGTCGGTCCAGAGATAGGTGGTGGCGTTCGTGAGATTGAGTTGGTCCTTGACGTACTTAGTCAGTTTGGCCAGGAGGAGAGCCGCAGTGAGTTCTAGTCGTGGGATTGTCAGCCGTTTGAGCGGTGCGACCTTCGTTTTTGAGCAAACCAATGTGAGTTGTGATTTTCCCTTGTTGAGAACCTTGAGATAGATCACGACTGACATCGCCACTTGTGATGCGTCGGAAAAACCGTGTACTTTGACGACGGAATCCGTGAGCAGTCCAAGCCACCAAGGTATGGTGATCTCTGATAACTGTGTGAGCTCCTCCCTGAATTGGCTCCATCGTTGAGCAGATGTCTGGGAAACTGGTTCGTCCCATCCCAGTTTCTCGATCCATAGAGCCTGGAGCAATATCTTCGCTCGTATGACCACTGGCGCTAGGAAA